TAGTTTGTTGAGCTGTTTTTTAGTAGCATCCCATTACAAAAATAAAACAAGCCATACATTTTGGAAGACTAATTTTTGCACATAGTAATATATCTTAGGATTTAGATATTATTACAGCAGACAAGTAATTTTTTAAATGTTTATCTCCCTGAAAATTACATGATGTATTCTAGAAAAATGATTTATTTAAAATCACTAATAGCTTTCAATTCATGTAGCTGCTTGAACTTTCCCTAAGAAAGAAGTCATTCTGTGAAAATTAGGAAATGACTCACTTTCCATTTTGTAGTGGGCTTTCAAGTGAACCTCATTTATTCTTTCTTTATGTGCGTTTAGAACTTGATGTCTGAAATGCAGACTTCTTAAAAATTAGAAACTTTGTAGTAGTTTTTAAGACCTGACTACATTTTAACACATCAGTTATAAACAAAGTTTAACAAAAGAAATATTTTATGACACATCATCTAGATTTTTTTTTTTTTTTTTTTTTTATGTCAGAGGAGTAATTTAATGCAAAGAACCCCTGGACAGTGGTCTTGGAGAAGTGTTTAACTTTCAAGGCAGAACCTAATTCTTTACAAAATAAAAAAGTTGGACTACTTCAAAGAAGCACAGCTAGAAGTAGAACACAGATTTCCTAGATGGAGCTCAAAGATTTTGTTTTATTTAGCAATATTTTCTTAGCATAAGTATAGACCAGTTCTAGTATATGAGGAAAAAAGCAAGCCTACTATTACGCTCTCACACAGTGCTGCTTAATTTGGGGGAGATAATAGATCCTGCTAAGAATACTAGCTGCCATTAATTTCATATCATGTATGCAAGTCACTTTAGATATGTCATTTCTAACCCACACAAAATCTCTACTAAGTATTTTCTCCATTTTACAGTAAGAAAGCTCAGACTCAGAACATGTTAAAATAACTTGCTTGGGCCACTGGTAACTGGCTTAGACTGGATTTGACCTGTGACTTGAGCCCCATGCACTTTACCCTTCACTAGTAATTCTCAACTTGGGCAGGTAGTCAAGAGAGAGATCTTTCAGATACATTGTTACTAATGACTGCACTGAAGTTTGCAGATAATAAAACTGGAGCAGATTCAACTTACTTTTGGGCTATTTTCTCCCTTGTTTGTGTTTTCATGTGCTTTATTGAATGGGAGAGAGAGTGTTGGAGTTACAGCCATGGAGCCAGGAATTCACGTACCCGCAGCATGTCTCATCTGGGCTAGAGCTCATGGTGGGTTAGTGGTACATTGTTTAGTTAGGACTTGTGAATTATTTTAGTACTCTGCTTTCCTAGAAAAGTGTTTTGAGATTTCAAAATCTGTATAGTGTATCTCTTATAAATGTTGTCAAGAATGTGAACCATCCTTTGCCAAAAAGAAAAAAAAAATAAAATAACAGAGGGGAAATAAAAACTAAAGTTGGAACATGTCCTAGTGAGAAGAGGAATAAGGAAAAAGCAACTTGAGCTGTCTTTTCCCCGGCTCCTTTAAAAAAAATACAGTTACCAATATCAAGAGTCTACAGTTTTGAGTTAGAGGGAAGCACGGGGTTATTGAAGTGATAAACTATGTCAGAAAGAGTTTGGGAACAATTTAGGATACCTCAAGGACCAGTTTTGCATTTTCTAATCAATTTTTGTTTTCCTTTCTTAGTATTAGTTCAGAAGCAGGCCTAGAAATTGATAGCCAGCAGGAAGAAGAACCTGTTCAGGCGTCTGATGAGTCAGATCTTCCTTCTACCAGCCAGGATCCTCCATCCAGCTCTTCTGTAGGTAAGTTCCTGTTCTTGAGTACAACACAACTGATACACCAGACTTGTTTGCAAAAGATGATTTTGTTGTAACAAATAGATCGTTCTTTTTTTCCTCCTTAATTAAAAATGGTTTCTTTAAAAGGGAAATTGTATTTTATTAAAGGAAATGTAATTTTAAGACTAGAGGTGCCAGAGGGCTGTGAGGGATGGGTCACTGGGAGGGCAGCTAAGTACTTCAGTCTCCTGCCTCTTTAAACCAAAGGAGCTTCTTGTTACTTGTTCTACGTATTAGGATTCTTACATGAGATTTGATTTGGAGAGTTGAAGGGTAGGCGGTCTGTTGCTCAAAAAATAATTGAAATTTACTTACGTAAACAGTTTCAAAGTTTGACTTTCAAGTTTTTGAAGTTAACTTTGAAAAAGGCTATTTTATGTATTTTTCCTGCAATAAAAATTATTTCTGTGGTACTTTCAAAAAAATAATTAACATTTATTGAGCACTTACTGTGTGTCAGACAGCATTCTAAGCCCTTTACATATATTACCTTACTTAATTCTCACATCAACCGAATGTGGTAATCACCCATATGGAAACTGAGGCACAGAAACGTTGAATAACTTTTCCAAAATACATAACTAATAAATAATGGGCAGGCCAGGATACAAACTCAAGAAGTTTGGCTTCAGAGACTCCACTCTTAAACAATACACTATACTAGCTTATCTGTCTCAAAATGTTTAGGTAGGGAATTACTTTTATTAATTGAAGAAATACAGTACCCAGTCATCCACACAGATTATTTTTATTTTGAATTGTTTACAGCAGTAATTCTCAAATTCTGCCATTGAACCTTCACATTCTATGGAAGACCTGCTCAGTTATCTTTTTTCAGTCGTGGGACTTTGCTATCTCAAGATCTCTCCTGCCTATCAGCTGCTTTTCCCTGACACAGCAGCCTATAAGCCAACATCCCTAGGTTCAGATCCCACATCTACCTTGGAACAGCTAATAACTTTAAATGTCTGCATATATATTTTATTATGAAATTTGGATAATCATAACTAACCTTGCAGTCAAGATTAGAAATAATGTATGTAAATTATATAACTCAATGCATTACACTCAGCAAGACTCAAAAATTATCATTACCATAGTTATTAATAATACAATTGCTGAAGAGCTCTTCTCCCATTTATATTTCTGATATCCCATGAAAATTATCTTCAACAGTAGAATGGGCACTTTTATCTTATCAGGGCTTGCACAAGAAAATACGGTTTTTGTTCCCTTTTACAGTATACTATAAAATTAGGGTGTCTTTGAATTTATTTGGTAATATAAAACAGTAAGCCTCCTCATCTGAGCAGTTCATTGAGTCAGTAAATATTTGAGTGCCTACCATGTGCCAGGCGATTTGATAGAAAGCATTACTAAGAAAATGACTTCTAAGTAAAGACCTGGAAAGGGCAAGGGAGCAAAGCTGTGCGGTTTTGGGGGGAAGGAGTGTTGCAGATGAGGTGTATAGCAGGTATCTATAAGGCAGAGCAGTGTGGCATATTCAGGATCAGCAAGGGGGCCAGTGTGGTTAGGCACCGTAAGGCCAGAGAGGCCAGCAGAAGACAGGAGGGGATAGGGAAGAGAAGCCCAGTGGATCATTGTAATTGCTTTGGCTTTTATGGATTTAGGAAGCTTGTAGAGGGCTTCAAACAGAGTGATGATAAGATCTGACTTAAAGATTTTAACAGTATCACTGAAAATGTGTAATGGGCAGAAATGAGAAAGTTCGGAGGGTATTGTAAATTCAAGGTAAAGACAAGGATGTTTCAGACAGAATGGTAGAGTGAAGTTTGTGAGAAGAGGTCAGATTTGGGGATTGTATTTAAATTCGAGCTGGCGGGATTTGCTAATGATTGGATTTGGGGTGTCTGGAAAAGAGGATTCACATTTGACTCACATTATATGTCGGGGTCTGTTGTTTCCTGAGGGCGGTGATACGTGGTTTTTTATTGTAGTCCCCACCCCCTAGCACAGCGATACATGGATAGGCACCAAGTGAATATATATTTTATGAGTGGAGTGAATGAATGAAAAAAAATCATGTACTTTTTTTTAATAAGAAATTTTTTTTTACTTTCTACCCTTTTTTTGTTTGTTAAATGTCCCTTGTTAAAAATCAAACCACTTTTAAATATTGAAAGCAAATGGACACCTCTGCATTTTATCCATGCATCATTTAGTGACTAGATTTTGCCATTATAAATGCTTTTCTTATTTTTTAATTTGCTTTCTTATATTTTAATGTTTGGGGTTTTTTTCCTTAGATACTAGCAGTAGTCAACCAAAGCCTTTCAGACGAGTAAGACTTCAGACAACATTGAGACAAGGTGTCCGTGGTCGTCAGTTTAACAGACAGAGAGGTAAATTTCTGACATATTGATTACATGATAGGATGTAGGATAGTAATAAATGGAACAAGTTTTCTAATCCTTAAGCTTCTAACTTGTATGTAGTTTTTTTTTAATGTTCCAAGGATTGATTAAATAATTACACATTGAGCATGTGATTTTACTAATCTGTAAGCTTCTTGTAGAAAGATTTGTAAACTATAGGTATATAATGAATATGTGCTTATATTTCATATTTATTCATTTCTTCTTTGAATTCAAAATAAGATTTGAGGAAGCCAAAGTGTTACAGTACTAGATAGTCATTTGTTACATCTCTTCCTGTTGTTATACTTTTTACACAACAGAATCAAGCTTTGTGACTTTAGTTAAAAAAATTAAAAATTTTAATATCTATGTTTTCTAATGTAACCCTTAGAGATTGTATTCATGCCATGAAAATATTAATCTAATTGTAATAATTTTCAACTGAAGATGTGTGAAATGTCTAACACAGTTTTATATCTATATACCTAGATATTTGATATTGAAAGCAATTTTATAGTGACCTAGGGTAAGTGAATACTCCACTTTTGAGCTAACTTCTTAAAAGATGCATTCAGTTTGGTTATTTTTTTCTCTTATAGGTGTGAGCCATGCAATGGGAGGGAGAGGAGGAATAAATAGAGGCAATATTAATTAAATGTCCTGTAAACTGTAATAATTGTGAATAAGATTCTCAAGCCTGTTTTAGTGTAATGATTGTTGAGATTAAAAACATTTTTGTATTTAAATTGGTATGCTTCTCTCAACATGCTTTATTAATAAAATGTATTTCAGTGTCAAAATTTTTCATTCTTCATTTAATTAGTTGACTCTTCCTTTGCCCGTGGGTCCAAGGACAGTTGTACCAGACATTGGATAAGCTCCGCCCAGAACGAGTAGTAATGAGTCTTGCTGTTCTTCTGGGTTCATCGATGTTATAGTATTGATCTAAATAGAAGAGAAATCATTTTTTAATTAAAAAGAAAACAAAACACCTGAACTTAAAAATAGTTTGTGTTGACTATTATACTCAAAGGTAGTGTTTATCATTTTAATATCAGAAATGTTTGTATTAATTTGAACTTTCTGACAAAAACAGTTGCCTCAAGAGATTGACCTTTCACCAGCTTTCTGTAAAATTAGGTTTGATGCTCCCTTTTCAGAGTAAGAGTTTGAGGAAAAACTAAGTTTAAAAAATAATAATTCACTTCAGTTTTACCCTTTAAAAATCTTTTTTATAGGTGGAATAATTTAGATTTCTGAATTTTTCAAAGAAAAGTGCCCCACGTAACATAATTTAATTTCTATTAATTAAAAATAATTAGTTTCTCAAGAACCTCTTTGTGGTCTTTGGGACTTGTGTAATGATGCAAATCAGTAATATTTTGTGGCACCCAAGACCTCCGTTAAATGCCACAGGTAATGTAGAATATTGTTTTTAGTAGCAGTTTTACTCAAGTACTTGGATAATTTATCATAATAGTCTTTAACCTCATGAAGGATAGTGCAGAATAGAATTGCAGCCCATTCGGTTTAATTGAAAGTAAAGTGAAAATCTAAACTTTCTTATTATAGTTTAACTTCACACCTTTAGTCACCATTGAACACTGGTTTTTGCTTTGATTATATTCATATTTTAGAGATTAGAGCACATCCGTAAGAAGCTAAGAAGTTGCTTAATAACTTACCCCTAGAAAAGGCGTAGTAATCATATCCGTCCGGTTTTCTGATGTTGGGCAGTGCGATAGCTGAAGTCACCACACTTGGAAATCCTCTCCACTGTAAACTCATTTTAACTTCATTATGGAGGAAACCTGTAGATTTAAAGATACCAGCCTGAAAGCAAAGTACTGTAGGGAAGAGCAGCCGCTAGAGTCTGACAGACCTGGGTTTGAATCCCACTTCGGTCACTGAGTAGCTCTGTTACGGTGGGTGAGCTATTAACTTAGGTGCCTCAGTTTTTGCCTCCCTTTGACATGGTGCAAATTCTGCTGAGGTTTATAGATTTGTGTGTAATGTTCTTGGTAAGAGGTACTTGATAAATGGTATTTATTCCAAATAATAAACCCGAATAAATTGCATTCTTTACTCACAAAAAAACTATATATGTATGTATATAAGTATATATTGATCTGGTCATTCACTGAGGCAAATTAATGTTTTGAATCAGTAAGCTTTAAATTATTGGGGCTATTTAGTCACTATATTCAATAAGCTTCATTCTGTAAGATAAACTGTATTACATCTACTTCATGTGCAAGAATTTTTAACACAGTAAGAAACATTACCTTTGTCTTGGTGAGAGACTCTGATGGGTGAATAGTGAATTCTGATGGTGTGTGTTTGAGAAGGTCCTATGGCATGTTCAGAGCGACGTCTCCTAACCTGTGTTGTTTCTCTGTACACTGAATAATTGATAGCAGGCCTTCTTCCAGGGCACTTTTTGATGGGTTCCTGTTTATAAATATACTGCTGAATGCTGCCACCTATTATGTATTAGAAAATCACATGTGATAAGAAAATTAAGCGTAAACCCCCAGAAAGGTGGAAAAGAGCTTTTACAAGGTAGAGGAAATGATCAGTGTTTCTCATAAAGGATGTCCAGACATTAATAATGGCTGTTAGTCAAGGGTATTATAAAATAATGGCTAAGTGCTGAAATATATGTTGAATGAATAAAACCAACAAATTGCCTAGTTATATATTTAACTTTGTTTGAAATTAAATGATGACCTCTATATTAATGACCTGAAAATTCAGGTGAAATTGTAATTTGCATGCTGAGAGCTCTGAATACTTTTTACTGTCCTCAGTTTTTCCATTGAAAATAATTTGACTCCAGCCATTAAAGATCTTTTGACAGAAAACCCAGTAATAAATGAAAATATTAAATAAAATTTCTCAGGCAAATCAATTCTTAGAAGTTTTGTAATTTTGTCAATTATTGTAACACATACCTCTCTTGAAAAAATACACAGATTCAGGTCTGTTCTTGTATTTAGCTATTGAGAGAGCTGCCACTATTTTTCCATTTAGTCCTCCAAATCCTTTTACAATTTGTTTGGGGTACCCTGGATCTTTTACACCATTGGTGAAACGCCAGTACTGGGAATCCTGATGATTTAATAGAGGAAATGGTGTTAACAGCTTTGGAATAAAAAAGTTTGGGATTCATTCTTAGATGTAAATATAGGGAGAAAGTTTTAACTTTGTTAAGTGAATAAATTGGCCTTTAATGTTACCAAATTGTTAGCTTTTTATTAAATTTTGATGATAGAATAGTTTAGTAAAATACGGAGACCCTTCTGAAGTGGAGGGTAAGCTGATTTATGCTCTTAGGATCAAGAATAGCTAGTTGCTGATTTCTCTCAGAAAGATATTTTTCTTACCTTAAAGAAGAAAGTTTTTCCTTCACAGTTGCATCTAGTAAAAACAGTATCAATGGGGGAGGGAATACCCCAAACTTCAGTAATTTTACGAGGTGGAGGTGGTGGATTGAATGGACTCAGCATCCAGAAATAATGACCTAAAATTGAAAGTGATAGATCAACCTCCAAACTTAATGAATACTATAACTTATTCCGAAAGAAACCAAAATGAAAAATATGTTAACACAAATTATATGGCAAGTTTAGTCAACACTGTGAGGATTAGTACAGAAGTTAGTATTTGAATATTTCTGAGAGTGGGTATTTCTCAGGTCTGAAGTTCAGCGTAGCCTTTGAAATATTTTAGTTTTCCAGTTTCTCTAGAATGGTCCTTCTGGCTTTGTGACTTGCAGAAGGGCATTTATCTCCATTTCTTTATCTTTTAGAATTAAGGAGTTATAATTCAGTGACTGCTAATATCTCTTTAGCCTCTACCATGGTAGTGTATGATTTGTTTCCTTTCAGATTTAATCTAAATAGAAGAGGACTGGACCAGCAGATGGTACAGCAGAGAAGTAACATGAAGTAACTTCTGTTCTCCTGTTAGGTTCCCAAGGGATGTAGCACTGTTGAATGTATTGTAATCAAGATGTTATTTTCATATAAAACAGAGCAGGGAATACAAATACAAATCTGGGTGTCATATCATTTGATAGGAAATTAAAATTTGAACTACCCTTTAATTACTAATGGAAAGAAAAGCTTTAGTATCAGTTCAAGCTCTCTCTTTTTTTTAAATTTTATTTTATTATGTTATGTTAGTCACCATACAAGCTCTTTGTTTTATTTGTTACTCTAATGTGTTTAATTCTGTTAATCCTGTATTTTGGTAATTACTTTCAGGTCCCCATAATATTGTGTGAGGAAAGTTCATCAGTCAGGCTCCCCTTCGGAAAGCTCAACCCAAACTTCCACTCTTCTTTGGTTCTCATAAATGCCAAGAATAAAATGATGGGCAGAAGAAGAAATATGTGCATAGCTCACCTCGAAATGCAACCAGTGTTCCATTGCGCAAAGTAGTCAGTCCATCTACTGGCTTACCGTTGCATAAATTAGACTCATCTAAAACAAAAAATTAAGCCGGTACAAAAGAAAATGAGAAAAGTGTTCGTGTTGTTTTCAAATCCTCCCACAGGGCTGTTTCCTCTGTTCACCTTTTCCTAAGCTCTTGAAGGGGCTAGCGGGAGGTATGCATATTTCAGAAATGAAAAAGAAGAGCTATATTTCCTAATTGTTTTACTTAAAGGTGATATTTTTCAAAAGGTAATATATAAAATTAGGAATGGGCCAGGTTACCTGATCTTCATGTAAATTAGATAATTATTGGATGTTTGATCCCAACACAAAACTCCCATTTTTCAGTTCTGATTGCCCTTTGGAATTGGTTTGGAAAAGAGAATAATATTGCCGATTTTTGCTTTGCATTGTACTCTTGTAAGGATACACTCCCAACTAAATTTTTTTGACATTCTGTACACCAACTCTGCATATAGACACAAATGCACTAAATTCCTTATTATTCGATTTTCCGAAGACCAAATAATCTTACTGTGATTACTCCTCTGCTTCCCTACGGAGAAGCTGTAAAACCCCACAAGTTAACAAGCTAAGGGTTCTAGATAATATATCAATGGCATGATACTAACTCAGGCCCTTCTGGCTCAGATAAATTTAAGTTAACATTACCAATTTTAAAACTGGAAGTAACTGATACTTATTACCTGAAAGCATGGGATTGATGGTGATGTCTTGGTTGGATCCTCTCACCAAGATATCAGTGCCCAGGATAAATACAGGGGTTAACACAGGGGGCCTGGGGATCATGTGAGGTTTTTCTCCAGCAATATCTGCATCTTTATTTGGATTTACTTCAACTTTTTCTGAGTTAAGTCTTTGGCTGGGGCTGGTGGTAGTTTGGAGCATGGCTTCCGCTGAAGAGGTAGGGTGTAATTTCGGCATTGTCGATGTAGTCATCTTTGGGGGAGTTGCTGTAGTCTTTGGTTTTCTCACTTTAGGTATTTTTGGCTTTTTGGTAGAAGTGGGCCTTTTTGGTGCTTTGGTTGGCTTTTGGGGTTTAGAAGTTGACACTTCAGGATTCGTGGCTGTATCTTTTGGCACAGCTGTGGTTTCTTCGGGTTTATTCACAGTCTCTTCAGTTGTAGTTGTCTTTTTTGTTGTAGTCATTACTTTGGGTGCAAGAGTTGTTGCTTTGGGAGTACTTTTGGACGATGTGATAGATGTTACTTGTGTGGTTGTACTTGTTTTGGACTCAGTGGTTTCTTCTCTTGGAGTTGCTGTCTCTTGGGTTGTAATCTTAGGTACAGCGGTTGTAATTTCAGGTGTCGTCATATGTATGTCTTTTCCTATTGTTTTGTCTTTAGCTGTTGTCATTTCAGCTTTGGTCACTTCAGGAGCCTTGGTTATAGGTACAACAGGTTCCTTGGGACTGTTTTCAAGAGCCTTTGGTGTGGGTTCTGCAGGAAACTCAGGAATTGATTCAGCAAGGTTCTTGGGAGTAGTGGGAGGCTCCATGGTGGTAGTTGTAGTAGAGGCCTCTGAGATGGTTGGAGCAGGTGTCTCAAGAGAAGCTGGAGCAGGCTTCTTGGAGACTTTGGGGGTGGGCTCTTTGGGAGCAGTGGGTGCAGGCTCTTTGGGGGCCGTAGGTACAGGCTCCTTGGGGGCTGTGGGTGCAGGCTTTTTGGTGGTAGTGGGTGCAGGCTCCTTAGGAGTGGTGGGAGCAGGCTTCTTAGGGGTGGTGGGTGCAGGCTCTTTGGGAGTGGTGGGTTCGGGTTCCTTGGGAGTAGGTGTAGGCTCCTTGGGGGCTGTGGGTGCAGGCTCCTTGGGAGTGGCGGGTACAGACTCCTTGGGGGTGGCAGGTGTAGGCTCCTTGGGGGCTGTGGGTGCAGGCTCTTTGGTGGTAGTGGGTGCAGGCTCCTTAGGAGTGGTAGGAGCAGGCTTCTTAGGGGTGGTGGGTGCAGGCTCCTTGGGAGTGGTGGGTGTAGGCTCCTTGGGGGTGGTGGGTGCAGGCTCCTTGGGAGTGGCGGGTACAGACTCCTTGGGGGTGGCAGGTGTAGGCTCCTTGGGGGCTGTGGGTGCAGGCTCTTTGATGGTAGTGGGTGCAGGCTCATTAGGAGTGGTAGGAGCAGGCTCCTTGGGAGTGGTGGGTGTAGGCTCCTTGGGGGTGGTGGGTGCAGGCTCCTTGGGAGTGGCGGGTACAGACTCCTTGGGGGTGGCAGGTGTAGGCTCCTTGGGGGTGGTGGGTGCAGGTTCTTTGGGAGTGGTGGGTGCAGGCTTCTTTGGGGTGGTGGGAGCAGGCTTCTTAGGGGTGGAGGGTTCAGGCTTTTTGGGAGTGGTGGGTTCAGGCTCTTTGGGAATGGTGGGTACAGACTCCTTGGGGGTGGCAGGTGTAGGCTCCTTGGGGGCTGTGGGTGCAGGCTCTTTGGTGGTGGGTACAGGCTCCTTAGGAGTGGTGGGAGCAGGCTTCTTAGGGGTGGTGGGTGCAGGCTCTTTGGGAGTGGTGGGTACAGACTCCTTGGTGGTGGCAGGTATAGGCTCCTTGGGGGCTGTGGGTGCAGGTTCTTTGGGAGTGGTGGGTGCAGGCTCCTTGGTGGTGGGCGCAGGCTCCTTGGGAGTGGTGGGAGCAGGCTTCTTGGGGGTGGTGGGTGTAGGCTCCTTGGTGGTGGGCGCAGGCTCCTTGGGAGTGGTAGGTGTAGGCCCCTTGGTGGTAGGTGCAGGCTTCTTGGGGGTAGTAGGAACAGGCTTCTTGAGGGTTGTGGGAGTGGGCTCCTTGGTGGTGGTGGGAGCAGGGGATTTGGTTGTAGTTTCAGCTTCGGGTGTAGATTTAACAGGAGCTTTGGATGTGGGTACAAAATCTTTAGGAGGTGTTTTTTCTGCATTTCTTGTCTCTTTAGTTGAAGTCTTCTCTTTTGTTCCACTTGAAGTCTCTTTGTTTGTTAAAAAAGCCTCTTTAGTTTCAACTGTTGCCTCCTTATTAGGTGTTGAAGGTGTCTCTTTGGATATATCAGAATTAGGTGGAAGACTGGGTTTAGGATTTATTGGTTTGCCTGTTGTAATCTTGGGAGATGTGGTAACTTTATTGTGTTGGGTAGTAGGAACGTCAGGAGTTGGGGTGAGCTTGATGTCACCATTGTCCAGTCCACTTCCAGCTTCATCTACAACTGGTGGTTCTGGGGTAGGTTTCTTTTTGGGAGTTCTTTCCTTCTTGTTATCTGTTACTAGAAAAAAATACATCTTTTATTTTTGAGTAGTTTTCTGTTGAATAGTGACCTAAAGATCCCATCCTTATCAACAAGCTATGTATCCCAAGCAAATTGCTAACCTGTAATATGTCTATTAACTTGTTATAAAATGGTAAATACTGAACTTATCTGATTGGCCTATTTTAGGGAATAATGAGAAGGGGTGAAAAGCACAAGTTAAAGTCTATACAATTAATGTATAGAAACAAGTGGCAGCTTTGAAATTACCAACATGATCAGTAACACTAATTCATCTCTCTGTGAATGCTCTTTGCCCCTCACTCTCTCCCTTCCTCTTATTTCACATTGCTCAGTGACCCGTACCCCCCCTGGAAACCTAGTTCCAACATCTTGTAGATTCACTGCACCAATTGCCTCAGAGACCTCTACAACTACACCCCGGGAATCTGTCCAGTCACCGCAATGGTCCCTACTGAGCTCTGTTTCCATACACATGGCTATTAGCTGCTCTCTTTCCTCGGCGCACCTAAACTCAGCAGCCCTGGCAATACAGAGAGATTAGGATGCCATGGCAGCAAAAGACCCTGTTCAACAGGATTTCTCATAGCAGCTACCCCACAGGTGAATTTCAGAGCCCAAAGAGCATATCAAGAGCTCATCACTGAGATGAGTTCCATTTAGCAAACATGTACTGCACTTCTATGGTGTGCAAGACTCTTTGGATGATTCAAAGACTATGTATTTGGCTATTCAGCCAGAGAAAAGGCTTCAGGGGAAATAACAACCACCCCAGAAATAGAGTTCTTCAAAACTCCAGTATCCAAAATTCAGTCTTTCCTGGAGAAAGAGAATATATTTTAGAATTTCAGGAAATAAAAGCAGAACAAAGGGGATCTCTTTTCAGAAGGTAACAGTGTAATCTGTAGTGCATTCTCTACTACAAAAAAAAAAAAAAAATCAGCCAGATATGACATATAATTTATTAGAAAAATAATAAAAAGGAGCTGTAAAATATGGATAATAATATTGCCTTTCCCAGAGATGTGTATGAGACTTTAATGGATTAACATTTTAAAGCACTTAAAGCAGCACATAAGTGTTTGCAAAATAAAATAAAATTAAAGGAAAAATAACACAAGGAACATATAGAAAGAAGGAGAAGAAAGAAAAATGTATCAGGTGGACAGGAATTAAACTTGAAAACCATAAATGAGCATCTCTGGTGTCGTCCTGTGGTTCTAGAGCTGCTGCTCTAGCATCTTCTTATCCTTTGCTTTAAAGAATGGTTTCTTAGCTGCTTTGCACTAGTTTCCTATGGGAAGTTCTCATTAGTATCTCCTACAATAATTTTTACAAATCTGTACACACCCCAAGTACTGAAATGTCCTCAAATCATTCTACCAACGTGCATTGCTTTTAGATAATTATTATTAACATGGCATTGATATAGTCTTTGATCTTTATCAATGCTCAAACCTTTGGGTTTCTTCTTTAATTCTTTATTAGCAGCTGAATTTTTGGAAGAGTTGATTTTCCGAATAGTTGAAGAGGAAGAGGAAGAGGAGGAAGACTCTTGATTTTCAGAAACAGAATGTTCTATAAATCAAATAAAAAGGTTGATCACACCAACTGTAATTTAAAGCAAAAAACCGCCAGTCCAAATGCAACAAGAAATAATGTTTACTGAGCTACAAATGTCTGTTTTGCTTTTATTTTATCAGTAATATGATCAACTGTTCTTTTAATTTGTCAGTAAAAAGCAAGGTAGTTACCTTATCACAGGTACTAGCAATATATTACTTTCTCTCAACTTTCCCCTCTCTCACAGAATCTAATTATTCTGCAGAAAATCACCTGAGATTTTTTTTTTTTCCAATGAGATGTATTTCTTCTGATTATTTTAACCGACACCCATGCTGGGTTCAGTTGTAAGAAAAATAAATAGCTGATGGTTTATAATTTGGCTAAAGAAAAATAAATAGCTGAGGGTTTATAATTTGGCTTAAACTTAGACTTTAAACACATTTTAAAAAGTGTAATGAGCCTTTCAAGACTCACATGAGTCCCTTATTCTATGAAGAGTCTTATAAAAGTAGTCCACCTACAGCTTAGTCCCTCTCAAAAGCTTGTATTACATCTGTCATCTTCCTACCTTCTGTTATTTCCTCTGATTCTATCACTTTCTTAGTCATCTTCTTGTTTGGTGCTTTGGGTGAACGTTTGGTTGTTGATTTGATGGTTTGAGATGCTCCTGGAGGTGGAGGTGAAGTCTTTGAAGATGATGGTGTTGTGGGATTATGCACTGAGGCCAAGCAAGACAGGTGGATTAACATCTTGTTGACATTCATCAGCAGCTCTTAACTGTGAAAGGCATGGATGCATCTGGCTTCAAGAATCAATGCTGGTGAAAACCAGCGTAGGCATGCTCTTAGCCTAACACTAGTTACTCCAAAGCAATTAATTCTAAAGATGCATTGCTATAAAATATTGGTTCTGAGATTGTTATAAGTTATGACAAGAGGCAAAGGCTCAGGGGTCAGAAAACCTGAATTCCAGTCCTCGACCTGCAAGGTGCTATCCTTGTGACCTTGAGCAAATGAGCTAACCCCGTCTTGAACTTTGTTTTCTTGTCTGCAAATTGAGATGTTTATTCTAGATGATTTCTGAAGGTATTTCCCGGCCTAAACCATACTTGACTCTATCAGCTCCGTCCCTTATGCCAATCTTCTGTGATGATAGAAATAATTACTGCATGTGAGTGAAAGATATTTGTGCTCTCAGGAAGAGAAATATAATAATTACATTTGTCCTGTTTTCATATTCATTTAAATCAAATGATGCCAATTCACCTTTTTTTTATAATTACAAAAGCTCTGCGTGAATATTACTCTTGTAAAACGTTCACACCTTCACATTATGCTTTTCTCAAAATGTGTGGCCCTTCCCCAAGTTAAACAACCGTTAATGGTTTGGTGTGTATCTTTGAAACTTTTTCTGTCCCATCTGCCTACCCACCCTTTCTATGTCTAGAAGAGAAGTCATGGGACATGTTTTGATCGTTAGGAACCAGAAGAAAAGGAGAGGGACTTCTGAAAGATAAGAAAGCAGAGAACAGTGGGGAGGCTTTGAGTAGAGAGAGTTGTGATAAATCCTGCTGCTCTTACCGAACACCCCCTAGGAACTCTGGCCAGCGCAGTCTCCATGAGCTGACGACCGCACTCTTTCCTCTGTCTCTCCCACCAAATAGCTCAATTTGAGAAACAGTTCTGCCATACTAGCTAGTGATCTTGAGCCAAACAACCTCTTGGACTGTTTTCTCACCCACATTTGTTCAGTTCTCGAAATGTTACAATTTTGAGATACATAGATGCTTACAACAGTATCTATAGACCCCGAAACAACCTAAGGTGCCTGGTGAGATAGTTTGGCTGTTATTCTTTAAAAATGAAGTAGTGGGGGCGCCTGGGTGGCTCAGTCGGTTAAGAGGCTGCCTTCGGCTCAGGTCATGATCCCAGCGTCCTGGGATCGAGCCCCGCATCGGGCTCCCTGCTCCATGGGAAGCCTGCTTCTCCCTCTCCCACTCCCCCTGCTTGTGTTCCCTCTCTCGCTGTGTCTCTCTCTGTCAAATAAATAAATCTTTAAAAAAAAAAAAAAATGAAGTAGTGAAGCTCTGGGTGGTTCCATTCTTTTCAGTGGAAACCCGGACTGTCTTAATGAATTCTGTAAATGAAGCATGACCTTCATCAATTTTCTTCGTTTAGCATAAGCCTCGGGTAATCTGACCCACCACCTAGTAGCATAAAGCACTGTCTTTATTAACATGTCCTTGCAATGCTTCATCACTCTCTAACCATCCTCCTTCCCCACCCATCCTCTGCCCAAAATAAAGTCTTAGTTTTTTGTCTCACAGCCAAAACAATTATCAGGGCACTGAGTAAATATGTATCCTTCATCCTGAGATCCTTCTCTGAGAGCTGCAGGAACCCGGCAGAGTTTTTGATTATATGGGTGTTGTCTCCATCATTTCTGGAATGCTGTCCAATGAAAACATTGAACAGTTAAGAAATAGCCCTCAACTATGCTGACTAACAGTTTTTTACCCTATTTCTCCACTGTTCCAAAGAAGCAGGACGTACAGCCTTGTTTAAATGAAATGATAAGATTATGCAAGCAATGCTTATTGTCACCTTTACCTCCACAAATATTGTTGTTTTAAAAGTAGAATTTAAGAGTAAACATTTGGTTAAAAAAAAGGAATTCGTTATTTTTTTTAAGTATTTTTTTTTATTTTTTGGAAAATCTGAAGAGTTTTATTGTACTCTCAGAGTACTCCTTCAGGACCTATAATCTCAGAGTACTCCTTGAGGACCATAACCAGAGAAGAGGATTTTAAAATGGGACAATATCCCTTTTTATCTATTCTATCACACACAGGGATTTAGATAGAGATGACCATGGACTGCAGAGATGGGAAGAGACGGACAACAGATGGTTAACAACTTCTTGGTAGGTTTGCCTATAAATTTAATGTGTTTAACTCCTAAGTTGACTAGTTCAGAGAAGCCAAAAGTGTCATTCGGTCCTTCAATATACACGCAAAAACACAGCTAGCCCAAAGGACCCCCAACTGTGGGGTCAGCACCATTAGGATGAGACAAGAAATCACTGAGTAAGCTGGTTGCTGTTGACTTCACCTGAAATTGGACCACACCTGAGGAAAAAGCACATACACTCGGCCCCTATCCTCTCTGTTCCCCAACCAGCAATCTCTGATGCTCCTGGAGCCCGGCAGAGCCAGGCTGTGCTGTTGGAAGAGGCATTCCTTCTTTAATTCATTCTTGGTGAAGCAAAATTAATACAGAGTGGCTTGTGTTAGTAAAATCAAGTCCCTAGATGGAGTGCATACTAGACATTATCAGCAAAGCTAAGGTAGGTGCGCAGGTCTGGCCGCACTGAGAGGTGCTGATTGGCATCATGATGCTTACCTTTTCCACAAAATTCCTCATAATCAGGACAGCACTTGCCATACTTCTTACAATCTGAGTCACAGTCACACTCCCTCCCTCTTGCAAAGGACTCGAAGCAGCGGCCTTTACAGGAAAGCTCTACCCAGAGCAAAACAAAACATTACAGATTATTGACTACGCAGTCACACCCATGTACTGATAGCCATTTCCCACCTGATAGCTGACTAGAGTTCCAAAAGTGCATTTCTGAGTCTTTCATTTGGGATTTGGAAAATAGGTAGTTTTCCAAGTGGAGAAGTCAAGAAAGAAATATGATGACTCAGAGAAGTTTTCTTGCCCTTCAAGGCTCTGAGAAACACCCCAGTGCTGTCATTCCACATATGTACAGTGGAAAGGTGGGAACCCTTCATATGAAATCCTCCATCCTCTTCACCTTGCACCACTGCTTTGTAGTTGATGTTTATTAAATGAACGTTCAGACCTCACAACAATATCCCAAAGAGCTGGCTTAATATAGATGGGTCCCTGTTTAGGCTCAAAAATCACTTATAATGCAGAGACTTTGATTATGACGAACTGAGCAAGGTGTAGAGTTGGAAGATTTCAGCCTAATCCCATAGCCTAGATTATGCCTGCTCATGCCAAAACAAGCCTTGGCTAGAGGCACAGTAACTTACCAAGGCCTATTTGAAATGATCACCTTGTACGACACATAACTGTACAGCAATATATTTATCAACCTCACCTATAAATTCTAAAGTGCACATAACTCTGAACCACTTTTAATTGTAATTTTCAAAAGTTGGAGATTGAAATGTCCCTGTGTTAAGAAAATGATCCAAAAGTGTTCAAGGGAAATACCACTGATAATTTAAAATTCAGACCCTTTGGGTTTTAACTGAAATTTCTCATGAAACACTAATGCTTCGTATTTAAAGTGCCCTTTTTTGGGTACTTTAGAAACATATCAAAAAGTCCAACAGTCGGTAAGATTATTTTATATCCATGGATTCTTTTGATGAAACTATTGAAGGACCCCAACACTAAGCAATTACATCTTTGATTTACTTAATGACTCCCGAGTCACAGTATTCTCTACATTTTACTTGGGACTAGTCAACCACCTTGTGCACCTGACAGATTTCCAGGCTCCCCTCCCCACCCTCCTTCCCCCACCCCGCCAGGCCCGAGCTCTGACACCATCCTTAGGTACAGCACGCTGCAACACGTATGCGAGGAAGGGAAAGGCACTTGAGCAAAGAGAAGCGCAAGAGTGTGGAAACAGGTGCAAGGGGACCCACAGAACAGTGTTGCAGGACAGGGGAGACACTAGCTGTCAGGACTTACCCACGGTGCAGACTTTCTTGAAATCAGGGCAGCACTCCATGTAGTGTTGACATTTATAATCACAGTTGCAGGCGGCATCTCTAGAATACCCTTCCCCACATCTCCCTGCACAGCTTGGTAAATCTAAAATTATACAATACTAGCGTGTAAACATGGCCAAACCGCATCACGGGAAGGAAGAGATCTACTGAGAAGGATAAAGCCACTTGGCGAGGGAGAATTTTATCAATCGGAAAAGTTCGGGAATGATGGGTAGCAATGGGTCCTGCTGAACTTAGCCTGACGGCTTATGTGACCTTGATCGTGCCACTTTATTCTTCACTAGACTGAGAAGATAAATACACTTTTGAAAATCAGGCAAAGTTAAGGGCTTTGCAGAAAGCCGGTAACATTCCTGGGGGAGGGGTAGCAGCTAGGGCTCTCCTGAGGCTGCCGCTAATGAGGACCAGCTGACATTTCTTCAGCATCTCTGTGCTGGGCACTGAGTTATACGTTATCTCTAATGTTTATGAAAATGTTGCCAGGAGAGTATCAGTAGCCCCTTTTGAGAGATAAGGAAGCTGAAACAGAGACTTTAATTAATAGCTCAGGGACACCCAGTGAATAGTTCCAGGATATATGTATTACAGGTCAATTAGTACCTATTAATTATTCATACTGACCTCTTTCACTCTCAGAAGTATCCTGATTTGCATAATACATTATGTGGTCACCTAGAATTTGAACTCTGAAATCTCTGATTCTAAAGCCCACACTTTTCCCACCCAATCACACTGCGTCTCATCTCTCATGTTGAGTTTAAAGCAAGCTGGTTATGCCAGCAAAAACTTCCCTCGGCTTCCTCTTCTTCTTATTCATGAGGATAACTGCGTTCTTTAAATGTTGAGGAAGTCAGATGCTTGCAACCACAGCTACAGTGAGTGCAAAATAGGTAACTGTTCAAAAGCATCTGGGCATGAATATAAAGGTCAGAGTTATTTTGGGTTAAACAAAAAAAAATACAAACAAAAGTGTCATGATCCTCAAACGTATTTTGAAGAATCACTTGGAAAACACCTTCCTGAGAGAATAACCACAAAGATGTAACAATGGAATCTGTCTTTGGAATAGAGACGGTCAGGTGCAATGTCCTAAAGCCGAACAGGGAAGTTGAAACACACTGGAAAAATCTCAAAATAATGAGTCCGGGAAAGTGAAAGTCTTCATGTGCAAAGAAGAGAGTAAATATTAGGACAAGCTTCACAACTTCTTGCGTACACATGTGCACAATACATACAAAAATGCATATATAGTGTATGTATATAAATACATATATATAAAGGAAAAAGAATGAGAAGAAGTTGAAAAGGCAAGACAAGCAGACAACACAACATTAAAGGCTACTCTTTTCTAGTTAGCAGACTTCTGAAATAGGAAATCAATTATCTTTGTAGGAAGAGCAATTATTTTCATAGATAGCTTAGGAAATGCTCTCAGTGTTGTGAGCCTTATAACACTATCACCAGAGAGCAGAGGAGTCCAGAGATGGCGTGGTGGCCATCATTCCTTATTAAATATTCACATTTGCTTTCACCTGTTTTTGCGTCTTATCTAAGTGATTCTGAAACTATGTCCATGGCAGGCAGTTATCTCTCATGCTTAGGCTGGTGGGAATTTTAACTATTTTCTTGGAAGTGTCTATTTTATGAATACAATTTCACCATAACAATCACGCACCTAGATTTTTCTTCTCTCTGGTTTTGCTTGTCAAAGAAACAAAAAAGGAAAAGAAAATCCAACACTTGGTATTACTGTCACTCATCAACCTTGATTGCATGCTAGAGACCTCGGCTAAGGTGATTGTATTGAATGTATCTTAACATTCTCTAAAATGAATAACAAGAACTGTTCATTCAGGACTGCCTGTTTTTGGAAAACTGGAATAGTTCAATATCATAATATATGACATGTGTGCGAATGTAAGTCATATCTGGATGACTAGTCCTTGTAAGAAAGACAGAAATTTCAAGATTAATACAAGGCCGTTTGAAACTTTGTAAATGTTCATTGTAATATTATACTTAGTTCTACATGATGCCAAAATAAGTCATCAATAATTTATGTGATGTAAAAGACTAGTTAAATTTATTGTAAACATGGAAGCAAAAATTACATGTTATTTCAACATTGTTCTTTTCGGTTTGTCTGATGATACTCCATCACACTAGCATAGTTTTATCCTGTGTCTGTATTTTGTTGAACTTTTGGAAGAACCATAAAAATATAACAATGTAACAATGGAAGAACTGCACAGAAATTATTCTATAGAAAAGCTCAAAACTTGAAAGATTTCATAAGACATGAGAAAAACGTGAGAATTCCAAAATGCTTATAAATATGCCATATCTGCTTCACGTAACTTTAAAATTGTACATTAACCTCAAACAAATATATGTCTTGAGAAATCTATTTCTTTTGTTGTAGTAATAGTCAACACAGAATGATGAGCCACAGCTGTTAAATAAAAGTCTTTTTGATGGTTAAGATACCTTGAGAAGAAACTTGCTGAATCAAGAAAACAGAAAGCAGCAGCAAGTACATGGAAAGTATTTTCCACTCCATGGCTGTTTCCAGGTACCGAGCGCTCACTGCAAAGAAAAGAAAAAGTATCAAAAAACTGCTCTTTAGTCTCATTAGTTTATGCCTGTGTCACTTACCGTGTTTCAGTAACTTTTAAAAGGCGATTTAATGATAAAACCATCCCACTCTTGAAACAAGACTTTTAAAGATAATCAGCCTTAATTCTATCATAAGTATTTCACCATTAGATTTAATCTTATGCAGAAGAAATCGTCGAGTCACCATCTCAATCACGTTACTGTCCATTTTAATACTTCCGAATTCCCCCCAAAAGGAAAACAACCTTATCTCAACACTATTTAAATTATAGCATATACTTACAGTGCGAGGTTTAAATTCCAGCTTGGGGAGAAATAAATAAATAAATAAATAACCAACTTCAGTAAAATGTGATTTAACAAACGCAGAAGTGACCCTTCCAATTTTCCCTCAACTCTCCGTATAAATTTGTGAGCTTCCAACAGGTGGATTGCATAGCTGTGGTCCTTCTCAAAACTTTCCTGCTACTGTCCTTATAAATCTTTTTCAAACTCCTTGACTAAAGCCTATCCCTATTGAATTGAAAGCACATTTAATTCCACGAGGCAAGTTAACTTTGACACTTACCCGTAAAAGCAGTAATGAGTTTTTCCAGTGTCCTGGAAGGTCTTATATATCAGTGCAAATATATTGGGATGAGCCAGTTAGTCCAAAGGTTAGACAGAATCAACAGTGACAACCTATGAAATCAAACTTTCCTCATTTGTTGGAAGAGGGCCCAGACAGCTAGGCTTAGGCAACATCTGAAAAACACTTCCATTAAGAAAAATGACTACTACAAAATAAATTTAGGATTATTGGCCAAAACACACTTCTAATTTCTGAGTGAAATGAACAAATTGTCCTGAGATGGTAAATAGTTCTGACAAGTCTTGACCAGCATATCAAAGCAGCCGTGTCAAAGTAGTCAAATACTGGTATCACTTCTTGCTTTTATTGTTCCCCCCCAGCTAAATCTAGCAAAGAGTGATTTTGAAACTTACCTACTATTAGTTTGTGGCGTAAATTTTCTTAAATCAAAAGTCCATTTCTTGAGTGTTTGCATTTTCACTGAGCACAGAAAAAATGCTCTACATTGCCCCAAGGTGGATGGTCCTACTCTGTGTATTTTCTAGCTTCCTTTACCCTGTAAAACCCTGCTTCGAAAGTGTAGATTTCTCCCTTAGCCCCTTTATTTAAGCACAGCAGTGTTTGGGAATGGTCTTTTAAATTACTAATTTAGCCTCCTTACTCCAGAAAATGTGAACTGTCATCTTGCAGAGCTAGGTCAGCTCTGCTCAAGGTTTTACCTCAGCTTGATATGAAATGTTCCTGTTAAAATCCTATCTCCCGGGGCCTGACCATGGTTTTGGCTCAGGTTATGATCTCAGGGTCATGGGATCGAGCCCCTCATCAGGCTCTGCGCTCAGCATGGAGTCTACTTGAGATTCTCTCTCTTCGTCCTCTGCCCCTCATGCATGTGCTGTCTCTCTGGAATAAATAAATCTTTAAGGAAAAAAAAAATCCTATCTACCTGCATAAGGCCTGGCTTGTGTACTACTACCTCCCTGAAACCTTCCCGGATCAACCCCAGCCACATCCAGAATCATAGTCGACAAAGGAACTGCCTTTTACGGCAATTATCTGTTTATCTGTCTCCTGCCCACTCCCCCAGGCCGCAGACTGTGGTTTCCCCAAGGACAACCAACACCTGTTCCTTCCTTCTGTTGCCAACATGTAGTCCAGTGCTTTACTGAAGTTGTGCGTTTACCGCGTGCTCGTCCAACCAAATGGTCATATTCCACGGTGTAGTGGGTATTTGGTAGGTACTGCGTTTAAGTAGCACAAAATGCCTTTAAGTTAAATATAATCCTCCACATTTTACAAATAAAATGAAGACCCACAAATAAAAAAATCTCTGACCCATCGAGGATACATAAGGAGTAGGGGCCAGAGCCAAGATTTGAACCGTGTCTTTTCATTTCAAGTTCCCCCATGTTTCTACAAACTGAGGGTTGCTTGAGGGGAGGCGGTTGGGGGGATGGGGTAAGTGGGTGATGGGCACTAAGGAGGGCACTGGGTATTGTATGCAACTGATGAATCACTGAATTCTATCTCTGAAACTAATAGTATATGTTAATTAAATTGAATTTAAATAAATAAATAAATAAATAATAAATAAAGTTGCCTCATGTCTCTACTATTTCCAGCCCCTTCTGGTCAAAGCCATTACTCAGTCCTTAATCATAGTACTAACTTTTACTCCTTCATGTGTATATGTGGGTTTATGAGATTGTGACCTTTGTTAAGACAGATTATAACATAAGCATCTCTTTTGTTACCACAGTGCTTATTTTGGGCTAAATCTATCGTGTAATAGGAAAAGTTTAGAGACTGTCTGCTCACCTCTAAATATTTAATCTCCTTCCTCTGGGAACCACCCCTCCATCGTTAGGGGAATTTCCCTTGTAGCCACTTGAACACCTGTGATTTCGACACACCCAGCATAGCTGATAGGATTAGGGATAGAAACCTCAAATAAATTGGGCCAATATGTTTTCCTACCCTGGAAATTTGGAATTGTGATTCAAACATGACAAGATGCCTCCTTGCTTTGTATTGTTACAGCAGACTCCCCCTTTGAGGCCGAAGCTGGCCAAAGATGCTTTGTGCTACTTAAAATCACTAATCAATACAGAGAAGAGGTACAAAAGATCCTGTTGGATGTAACTGAACCAAATTCTATTCATTCTTAGCTTTCCTGAGGCCAAGAGGGGGAAGCTAGCTTTGTAACTTTTTCAAGTCAGACCTTTACAGAGTTCCCTTGTTATTTGTTCAAAATGCTGGGGATACTATGAATTTCAGCAATACATATACACACAGACACATATTTTTAAAATATAAATTGCTTTCTGATTATTGCCTTTTAGAACTATCTGCATTATCACTTTTCTTCTTTGGACAAATTCTTGTAATGATGGCAAATGACATTCTTTTTTTTTTTTTTTTTTTTTTTTAAGATTTTATTCATTTATTTGAGACAGAGAGAATGAGAGACAGAGAGCATGAGAGGGAGGAGGGTCACAGGGAGAAGCAGACTCCCTGCCGAGCAGGGAGCCCGATGCGGGACTTGATCCGGGGACTCCAGGATCATGACCTGAGCCAAAGGCAGTCGCTTAACCAACTGAGCCACCCAGGCGCCCCGGCAAATGACATTCTTAACTTGACTGAAAAATCTGCTTCAGAAACACTTGGTTCTTAAGCCCAGGTTTTATTCTAAAGTTGAAAACTGACAAATAAAGCAAAACACACATGCACAATGATGACCAATCATAACTTTAAACATATCCATTAACACAGTCTCATTTTCATCAACTACGTTTTCTCTGCATAATAAAGCATGGTAAAGAAAGAAAACCTTCATTAAATGCCAAATTCCTGAGGTATAACTTATCAATACCTGATTTGCATAATTCTATTGGGTAATGAGGCTATCTGAGGAAGTAAAGTTTGTCCTTAAGGCATGGAAGCATTTTAATTTTATCTACTAACTATATCTTCATAAACTGTACTAAATGCATCCTTCTGTGAATATTAGGCCATTTAACCTTCCTTACTAATGACTTAACAATCATTCCATTAGGTTATAGGTACCCCCTTTGAGATTTCTTTTCTCATTGAAGGTATTTTTTTTTTTTTTTAGCATTCACTTAAACCTCATTTAACTGGGACAAAAATTATCCTAGGATTGGTTTCTGGTAGGGGGAGTTGGGGAGAGGTGAGGAAAGAGAGATGGAGAGGACTTAAGTAATACTGGATCCCATACTCGTCTTCTAGAGAGGACCTCCGCACAGTTCGTCCTCATAAACATCAGTTTCGGTACCTGGCAGCCATACAGCGAGGCCTTCAGAAAACACTCGAGGGTGCTTAGGGGTATTTGCTCTTCATTAAATGATCCCAGACTGCTGTGCCTTCTCCCTGCGGTGTTCTGTCTCCATCCCTGCCGTTAGCTATCACTTCGCCCTGTAGCCAGTGTGTCTGTTCCTAATGGCTTCTCTCCATCTTTCCACATTTTTGATGTGTTTCATTTTCTTCCAGCAGCAGCGTAGGAAAAACTGAAGCATGCCAGGGGAAAACCACAGATGCAAGCTTGCTCTTTATTGCCCTAATTTTGTTCACAATGCTGTTAGAGCACTCTGGAAGTGGAATAACTCATTCTCTTCTCCTATAGAATAGTCCCCAGGATTTGGAGACTCATTCTGTCTGTCCTGCTCATGGCATTTTCACATACTGGGAAGGGGTGTGGCTTTCTTTCTGGATGTTGATCCAAAATCTGACGTTAGGTAAGAAAAGTATTATTGCATTTGCTCTTGAAGAGTGCAGCCGTCTGATAATTGCTCCCGATTTTTTCTAGCTTTTTCTACCTGCCCAGCTAGAGATTACATGGCCCAGCTTCCTTTTCAGTTATGTGTGGCCCGGTGACTGAATTTTCTCCTATGAAAAGTGACTAGAAGAGATAGGTGCAACTCCCCCCCCCCCCCATTTTCCTAACAGAAAATCGCTTCCTCTGGACTTCTTGTTTTCCTCTGTTCTTCCCAGACTGGAAGGCAGACTTCAGAGACCAGACTTGATCACGCAGACGAGGATGGCAGCCTAAGGTATAGTACCATTATGGAACACACAGGCACTCCCTTTCCCGGGACTAGTCAAGAGAGTTGCATACAAGGAAATAAATCTCCATTTTATCTGGACAACTCTAATTTGGGGTCTTTTCATTACACCAATTGAGATATTACTCTAACATAGAAATCTTATGAAATTCCCAAATATTTAAGGGAGTGTATTCTAAAAGTTGATTTGGATACTGTACAACAATGCAAAGAATGAACTACTGGTAATAAACTACTGATATGGGAAAGAAAGAGGTAAACTCTTTTCACTTGCAGATGACATAATTGTGTATGCAGAAAATCCTAAGGAATCCACAAAAAGCTGTAAAAATTAATGAATTTAGCAAGATCACAGGATAGGTGAATGTTGAGCCACGCATGAAATTAGATGCACTGCCCCTACTGAATGTTTTGAGAATAGGAGTTCATTTATTTGTTCATTCATTCAATTCTTTTGATGAGCAAGCAGTGCTCACTACATATCGGCTCTATGTAAATTGCTGGAGATACATAGATTACATCGATGTGCAAGGTAGAGCCCCTGGTCCTAAGAGATTTTGGTCAGGGAGCCAGACATTTAAACCAATAGTTTAAATAATATATGGAAATGAGGAGGCAATGTGGCAAACAGCTAAAATTGGGCTTTGGCATCAGTCAGACCATTGTTCAAATCTCAGCCTCATCTTCTGCTGGTGGGCTTATACAACTCTCTTGACTTATCTAGTCCTCGGTTTCCTTATCTGCAAAGTGGGAGCAATCATTCCAATTATTATTTGGCACTGCAGAGATGCATCAGAGGTAAGAGAGAATTACATTGAATAGTAGTGACATGTGCTCAATAAATCGTAGGTATTATGATTGTGGTTATGGTTATGATTCAAGAGTTGTACCCCAACTGCTATGGAAACCTGGATGAGCAAGTGTTAACTCCACCCAAGGAATTCTTCACAGAAGGATGACATGTAATCTGGAGTCTCCTATGTCTGGGACCAGGGGCAGTAGACAAAGACCATAACAGTAGGCAAAATGATATAGCTTCTCTTTTTCATTCTTCTTGCCTATTTTGCTTT